GATCATTATCACCATAAGGTCCTTGGTAAGCTGTGGACGTTGATTGGGCGTCCATTTTCATGAATTACTACAATTTGAGATGGGATAGCTGCCTACCCTCTGCTAATAACGTTAACGGATTCTCGTCAGTTATCGACTGGATTGATATCTATCGTTCGTTCTATTCAGGCTCTTTGCGCCCAACGCAACGTTACCAATTACGGTGACTCTTCGACGTCATAATATAGAGGAAACTACATGGCGAGCGTAGCAGGGCGCTCAAGTAGCTATATTTACGTATAGAACAGCGTACTCATTTGGCCGGAATCAAAGAATCAGCCCATGCACATTTATCTAATCAAGTCACTGTACAACGGATAGAATCTGTGAAATAAATGTACATGTCGTCTCGGTCATAGCGACGTACAATCTATCCCCTCAACATTTCTATCTAACCCAATATGAGTTAGTAAGTATTCTTTAAGGGTAAAGAATATTTATTAAAATTTTTGCATTAGCTTTACTACCTTGACGAAGTGTTGTGTTCTTTTTTTCCTTCTTTTTTTATTTCTTATTGATTTTATTTATATCAGCATCCAGTATTGATCTAGGATTGAGTTCTTTAGGTTTCTTGTTGTTTTTGTTGTTGTTGTTGTCGTTTGTTGGTGTCTCTAGAACGCATTGCGCAAAAACTAGTTGTTAAGAAGTATTTGAGAAAAGGACCGCATTTATCGGTGAAGCTGGTTTGTTTACATTTTAATGACTGGAAACTACGTAGGGAGCCAAATGAACATTATGGATTTAATGGCGTCTTTTAGCTAAGAGGTATATTTAGTAATCGATCAATTAGAATTGGATTTTTGCCAATGCTGACCACATTTTTCATCAATAGTTACAGATCATTAGAATTTTCTCTTTTTATCCGATTTAGGATACCCTCTTTAAACTATAATACATATGTAATAAAATCCAAATAAAATATAGGGCGTGATCAAGCAAGGATCAAAACAATCACTGTATAGACATTAAGTTATTTCTATATAAATTCATATAATGCGAGCAGTTTAGCAAAACACTACTTATTGATAAGTTATTCGCTTGTATTGGTTTAGGAAAGGCCCAATTTCTGAATTCTTCGAATTTCAATATCGAGACCCAAAATGATGCAGAACAGTTTATGGAGGACGTCCTAGCACATCTGCCCAACAACACTGTACATTTAGCAGGATTCTATTTTAAGGTGAGGCAGCCTGGCCATCGTTTTACCCATAACCGCTTATATAACACAAAATGGGGTAAACGTTTCTGACTTGTTTGAAAACGATTCATCTGAAAGTTTCAGAGTTCTTATTTTACATCTGTTAAAGAATCTGCTCTAAATAAAAACTAACAATATACAATTTCTATAAAGCATTTATTTGTCATTTAAATCTATCGATTAAATATAGAAAAAAAAAAGTCACCAATTTATTGTTGCAACAATAATATAAGCATGACCCAAGCGTAGATATCTAATTTTTTCCTTATAAACGCAACAGGACAAGGCAGAAAAATTGGTCGATTCGTGCCCCAATGCTCTTTGGGCAATACGAACCACCAACAACAACAAGAAATACTGAGGCCTAATACTAGGTATTTGTCAATGTTATTAATAATACCAAATAATATCAATAAAGGTCATGTTATCGCATCAGCAGTGTAAGTAGATTTCTCGAATTTATTATTAAGCAAAAAGTTCGCCGTTCCGCTACTTTCGATTTATTTCAGATAAAAAAAACTTTATTGTGGAATTTTCTAATGACACATCGTGACATTAATGCGTGGTTCAACAAAGGCCAGGTTAGCGGGATTGACACGATCAAGACCAAAAGCTGTCGGCCGCCAACATCACATAAGAAGAAGATTACCGTAAGTGGCATGACAAACAGCGGCACGAACAGCGGGCAGAATGTTACGACCTGTAAACAATGTATCAAAATAGATTTCCTCGTGAGGAAAAAAATGCTGCTAAGTAACGGCGAACCGTCCGACTCAAGTTATAATGGTTCACAGTTGTGAACTGTAGCTGGCTATGGAAAATACATTTTTCAAGTTCCTTGGCGAGCCAATAGTTCTATTAGAAATGCAAATCTGTATCGAACTTGTAACAATTACGGGTTAACTTAACAGGTGAAGTGTCTTCTTGACTTGAATAGTACCTTCGTGGTTTATGAGGCACTCGTAACTGGGTTCAACCTAGTGGGGACAATGTGGGCTGCCAAGGTGGAGGTGCGCTTCCGCGGGACGGAGTATTCTATCGAGATTACTAACTTTGAGGACGGCCCTTTGAGCGTCACCAAACTCATCCTTGAAAGGTAAGCTGCACTTATTAGACATGCTATTACAGAAGAACTAAGTTTTATGCTTGGGATCATTAGATGAGACGATTGGCCTCCCAGAACAAGCTTTGTTCTAAAATTTGCCGCTGGACTTGGTACCTTTAACAGTCGCAGAAACGTCTTTTTTCGACTGGTAACATCCCAGTCAAGTTCATTACTTCAGCGCACATTCTTATTGAAAAGGCAGATTCTCTCCAACGTAGCGTGGATACGTATAAAAGAAAAATAAATAAATATATATATAAAAATCTTTACGTTTTACGGGATTCGGTCCTATGGGTGTCGAGATAACTTCTGTACTTCTGCTAGCACACCACCTGGGTGTATTGATATTCAATGAAAATCCACATTATACAACGGTCTGTGAAGTGTCCCGCTGATAAATTAGCTCGTCAAGTGCTAGGATCGAACCAAAACGAATAGACCCACATTCAACCCCAGTTATTCATTGCGCGACCTTTTCCTTGAATTACGGCTATATCGAAGGTCTGCCAGTGATACGTCATTCACACAAACTAAAAATAAGCAATTTTGAACAGAACGATCTATAATCCGACCCGCGGTGTAAACATGTTGAGCAGAGATTTCTGGCAGTCTAACTACGTCGTGGCATAATTCTTGTCTGTAGGTTCCGAACAGAGTTGATTTACCCAGACTTCGGTTTTAACGTAAAACGCAACGCTCGCTTCAAAGAAAAAGTTAACAACGAGACGAAAAGACAGGTTGTCAATGTGATCGCCAGCACCACGTTGCCGGAAATTAACGCGATACTGCGTAAGCTTTCGGAAAGAAAATAGGTGGACATATCGAGAATTCTGCTAGCGTAATTATCGTGTCTACCAGGAAAAAGGTCTTCAGCTAAAGTCTATGGTAAGGCTGTTCCGTGTCTGACCTATAAGTTGATAAAGATTCGATGGCAATTTTAGTATAACAACGTTTTACTATGATTGAGCAAGGGCCTAATTCATAATCCTAGATATGGGCAGTGATGATTGCCACACTTCGTACAATCAATATTACTAAGTTACAAATCGTAACTTGCCAGTTGCACATAGGCCAGTGGTTTAGAAGGCAGTTGCAAATAAACGAGGAAGCGCCGTGTCTGTTCCGAGCATAGTTGCTAGCATGAAACGACTGAACTCTCCGCAGAACGTATTATATATCGTATCCACGCAAACAGTTTTTCTAATAGTTTAGTGCAAGGATTGCAGCAGTATAAAATAATAGTGACGAACCGCAGAGTTTACCGATGGCCAACCGAAACTTTGGCTAAATCAAATATCAAGCGGATACCATCAATGATCATCGATAAAGGGCCATAGATCCGTTCTTAGTGACATGTTGTTCGTATTGATAATGGCACGCATGTTTTTATGATCTTCTCCGTGGAGCATGACCTTCATCGAGGAAAGCGTCTCTAGTAAACAGGATGATTACTGGAGTTGTCGTCAGAGCCTTAAACACTTTATCCTGTAAAAATCACAACTAAAGAGTAGTACCGGCTCCTGTAAATGCTGCCATTAGCAAGATCTGTCCTTCAAATGACGCAATTCAGGATTGTTTTGTAAATGCCGATGCGGTCGTACTGCGGAATTTCTATGTTGATTAATCCACTATGTTTAATATAATTGTATAGTGAATCTCTATTGAACCTAAACATTGTGACTCGATTGCGTGCACCGTAGCTATTTGTAATGAAGTCTCATGGTGAGGTGTTTAATGGAACCTAATATCTAAGCCTAAGCAAGGCTTAGTTGCGCAAGGGATTAAATCGCAGTGTCAATCATGGACGCAGCAATCAAGGTCAGTCGATTCATTCACTGAGCAAATGCTCAGGATTCCAGGTCGCTAAAGGGACACCTGGGTATCGTACAAAATAATGTTTAAACAACATAATGTATAAAATTGTTGATTCATAAAAAGTCAAGGCACGCTAGGAAGACCAACTTCTATTAATCTTATGAATTGAAATATCGAAATAAATCGAAGACTTGTTATTACAAATGTCCATGGATATTTCTGTACGGATCTGGCACGAACGAGACCTGAATCATAGATGGCTATGTGGCCATTTTATATTACGATAATGTGCTATTTGTCGCCTCGTTTCTGTTTTAGCTGTTTGCTCTCACTTTAAATGAATTTCGATTAATTTAATGATGAATCAGAAATATCAATATATTATGCTTCTATTGTATTTGGAGTAATTGAAGATCAGGCGATGCAGAACGTGGCGGGTGCCTTCTGCTAAGACGTATCAAACACATCATTGTAATCTCGATGTCATCAGTACAAATCTTACGATGAAGGTTAATGAAGCCTTGTAAAAACGCCAATCATATGCAGCACCTCTCGCAACAAGTGCCTTATTCGGAATAACTGGGCATTCACATGTCAGAGGCTCGCAATCGGGCCTGTAATAGGCTCGCAACAGTTTAATCGCTCAGCCCACTATTTTTTGTGTGATTCCAATAACGGCAGTGAACTAGTCATCGAAGGAAAATAGCTCCACATCACAAAGACAAGATCATTTCAATCAATGCTTTAATTAACTATATACACAAGGATAATAAGTGACAATTTCTTTCAACGATAGCGCATTTATTTTAAATTTTGCCGCCAGAGTACAAACATTTGTTCGTAGATGACCCGTAAACGATGCAGCTGCATATAAGACACTAGAAGACATATTTGAAACATAAATGAGCATCTTTGTTAGCTATGAAAACTGGGCATAGCTATAAAATTATTTTCTGCATAACCTACAGGAGCCATTATTATGTATATCTTTGCTTTTGTTCAGGTACACCGTTACGTTCAGTGCACGTTAAGTTTCTTCAGTCTAACAGAAATCGGCTTTCTGCAATTTCTCGTTGCTTGTGATAGCTAGTAAACAATCTATTACAGAAGTGAGAAAATCAAAAAATGAAAACAAAATGAATGATCGTGCCACAAGCGATAGTGTTTCCTAGAGATCAATAAGCACGCAATCCTCATCCATATTTGGCAGAAAAACTGCCGTTTCGTCGACACGCGTCTCGTTTTCTATCAGATCACCCTCATCAGTGCCAGGTATTTCCTTTAGCAGTCGATCACTCATGACGCTTTGGGTCGATTCGTTTAACAGCGTAGAGCTCGTCGAGCTGATCGGGAACCTGACCCTTCTTTCATATTGATCTACGGCTCCGCCGTTTCGCGACTGGACCTTCTCGTCGTTTGCGAGCGTGACAAGATCACTTGAAAACTTCTGATGACGTTGCTGACTCGTTTCGGCAACTTTCGTTGGTGCTATGGCACGGATAGCTCTTGCTGACTGCCTGAGGAATTCTGCAATGATTGCTTCCAGCTGCTCAATGCTCAAATCGGAAGGCGGCATAGGTGGATCTCGGTAGCCGGGTGTCACGTAAACTCGATGTAGGTACTGGGTGGACGAACATTTGTGTGGACAATTGAGAACTGTTTTTATCGTCCTTTGTATATTTATCTTAAATTCTTACATTAGCAGAAAGTATAGTTTCATATTAGTGTTTTATTGCTTCTAAAGATTTAGTGGGAAAACAAAGCCATCTAATTTTATATAGTCGCAACAACGGTTATTTAAAGCGGTACTAAAAAGGCGCATTTCATTTCATAAGGCCAACCGATCATCGAAAATCGTACCTTGATTTGTATGAAGGCTCGCAGTTCATTAAGGTCAGTCGGCCGATGAAAATTTGAAGGCAGTTTCGACTCGTAAATCGTACGGCCACGTTCATTGCCTATCTGAACTAGACGAGCTACCTGGAAAACAGCGCGGGAGATCGGTGTTTTATTATATATCAGACTGAAAAAGGTCAATGAATTCATTGCTCAATGAAAAAAGGCTGGAATCTTATTACGGCAGACGACCGCTGACGCCAGTCATCTCTTGTGATATCACTTATGTGCCTAATAATGTTGACATTATTATCAACTTCCAAACGAAATCGAGCTTTTTACATAACGCATGACAGCTTCAATACGAGCTAGGAAAAGGATAGATTTCAAAAAAAAGGTTTGGAAAACAATTCCATCAAAAACGCACTTGTTGAGGTGTCCAGTGATCGAGTCCAACTGATTTAACGCGCGAAACGTGAACCCCAAGACCCCGATGTAGTCCCGCACAGCGAATGCATAGAAACAACCCAAGCGACCACGACGTCCAAGTCGGACCTCGAGAAAGACAGTCGAAGCACTCACGATTTCCATCAGTTGCTAGAAGGAGTTCCAACAGACGATGTAGCCGTCCATCTGACCCCGCGGATACCTCACTGTCATCTGAACTGCTCTGCATCGTTGTTCACTGCTGTCTGTGGCAACTGTAACTACTAATCTAATATCGCTGCGGAAATCGTAGACGTTCAGGACTCGATGACTGGAATTTTACCGCAATAGTTTACCTACGTTATATTGCAGGCTTCCTCTCTCTACAAATCATAGACGTATATTAAGCTTCCGATAGGTAAGTCGTTTGAACATATTGTGAAATATTCGACGGAAATTTTGGAAGGAAAAATCCGATTAGAGCTATTTGAAATCCTGAAATTTTCTTTTTGCACAGCGGCCTAGGTCAACCTAAACCTTTTTAGCCATCATATAGCTACTCACGAATCTGTAACATGACAATTAGGCAGGAGCATTGCAACAGCAGTCACACGTTTTAGTTAAAACTACTACTGTTGCTTCAACGACCTCATAGGCTGGCTTTAGGTACCGCGAAACCTTAAATAGGATAATATTATTACTTATTAATTTTTATTCAAAGGTTATGCTCTAACTGACGTCACGATAGCGTCATCATGTACGATTTACTAGTAACAAAAAAGAAATCTCGTACTACCAAGATGCGAATTAGCGTTATGTAAAGGCACTCCACGCAAGCCATCATGGGACGAGCGGTGTTCATGCAGGTAGGCATTGACTTGGGCGGCTCCTGCCGCGAAACAGAAGTACCTTTTGTTTGCTGCTGCACTATTAGACCTAATGCGAACAGTATTCTCTGCACATTGATGCAGGACCATTGGTGCTATTAGTGCTGCTGGCATTTTAAACTAACAGGGAAAACACAGTGAAAAAAAATCCCGATCGGGTAGAAATTCTTTCGATTGGATATTCTATCAGTGGATAATCTCATAATGACGGAAATACTAGAGCTACGACAGTTTCCTTTTGTGCATCAGTATGCGCGGATCGAAATCAAGCTTAGAAGCATCTTTATTAACTTCAGCAGTAGTTCGCAAGCTCCAACCCTAAGTTACAACTAAGGAAAAACACCAGATGACACGTAATGGTACGTCTGACGTCTATTGAACGGAAGGGCCTTTTGATAAACCTGAACGAGTTATTCACTGCTTGCACTAGTAGTAGTAGCAGTAAGCAGAGTTGAGTTGAGTTTCACTAGTAGTAAGTTGAGCTGAGTTGAGTTTCACTAGTAGTAAGTTGAGCAGAGTTGAGTTTCACTAGTAGTAAGTTGAGCAGAGTTGAGTTTCACTAGTAGTAAGTTGAGCAGAGTTTAGCTTCACTAGTAGCAAGTTGAGCAGAGTTTAGCTTCACTAGTAGCAAGTTGAGCAGAGTTTAGCTTCACTAGTAGCAAGTTGAGCAGAGTTTAGCAACTTGGGCTTTGCGGGTACCGAATGATTCTTACAGATGACTTCCGTATCTCTATTATTATTATTATTATTATTATGTTTCTCTATTTTAGATTTGCCCCTTTTCATTGCGTATTTTAATAGGATAATATTTTTAGGCATATCATAACGGTTGAGTATGTAGTTTGCTGCAGGCATACGCCGTACGTCACCATATGAAGGCTGTGTTGTGTTAACCTTTCCGCGATCTTACCGATATCTCTAATAGTGTTATCGTCATATTGATCGTGATTATTGTATAGAACACTTTTAGCCTATGTAATATCGACGAGAATATAGCCTATTCGGCGATTTTCGGCAATCTTGAACGTCACGCAGAGAACGTCACGTCTGACGTGTCGTGATCAGACACTGCCAAATTATAGATATCTATAGAATTGTAGAAGTTGTCTTGTTTATTCTAATCACGTTACTTTGGTGACTTTGAGTGCCAGCGTAAACAGAAACCGTTCATGTATAAATATACTGAATTATTTTTTATTCTAGGGCTATTATGTATCTTCCTTTTCGACGACCTTAATGATGAAAAACCTTAAAGGAGCGTCTGGAGTGTGAGATGTAGTCGGTCGCTTTTAATGTAAACAGACATTATCATGTGGCACCAGTTTTTTTGCATTCAGTTGTAGATCCCTAGATGATTTTTTACCTTTCATCGTTTTGATTAGTTTACCTTTTACAATCAGGCCAGATCTAAGATTTCCAGATAGGTCAGAACAGCCTGCCTGTTTGCCTGTCTATCGTTTGGTATCGTCCACCTTATGATTTTTATTTTTATGCCCGTTGTTGTCATTGTCATAATCATAATGAACTGTTATGATGTTTCTTCGTCAACATTTTATGTTGGATGCGTCATATACCCCCACCCCCCACCCCAAGGATCTCATCTAGAATCCGCCCATTCTACGTACACAAGTTCAAGTCATAATAGTAGGTGATATATATGAATGGATGGGTAGATGATCTAAGGCGCCCAGCGTAATCCTTTTATCAAACTCTATTTTTCTTCATTTTGCGCGTGTGTTGCCTCGTTTTTTTTTTCGGATCTTTCTGATCCATCTGTCAGGCTCTCTCGTGTTTTCTTCGTTCCGCTAATAATTGAACTTTGTTGCTCTTTTTTTCAACAATCTCCAATTTTTATTGCGCTGTCATCACTATTGTTGCTGCCTCGTGGAGTCTGCCGTATCTCATCGAGGTCATTCGTTCTTTGCTCATCTATTCCTTATCGCTTTCTTATCGTATTGTGTGTGTAAATGTGGACCTGGGTCTATGTGCATGGTTT